AGAGAGAGAGAGAGAGAGAGAGAGAGAGAGAGACAGAGAGAGAGAAGAGAGGAGAGGAGAGGAGAGGAGAGATAAAGACAGCAAAACAGAGAGAACCAAGACAGATGAACAGGATAAAGACAGAGAACGATAAAGAAAGCAAAAGAGAGAGAACCAAGGCATATGGAAAGGATAAGAGACAGAGAAAGAAAACAGAGATAGATACAGGAGGAAACAGAACAATACACCTTAGAAAGCAAAAGGCTTACAATACCTGTGATATCATCCCACTCCGGAGACTGGAAGGAATACTTCCCTTCCATTATATTACGAATCATCACCATTTGTTTTCGATGCCAGAATGGTGGACAACCAACCAAGCTGAAAGGTAGAAGACACAAATATGCTAATAATCCTGTACAGCTCTTTACATATTCAAACTATAAATGATAACAAAGCTTGTGATATACTTCATACTATATCCTTGAACAAAATTCACAAAGAAAGAAACTGATGTAGCAGTTATATATATATATGTATATATATATGTATATATATATATATATATATATATATATATATATATATATATATATATATATATATATATATATATATATATATATATATATATATATATATATATGCATATATGCATATATAGATATATATAATACTTTGAAGACAATAACAAACTTAACAAATATATTCCACTTACAGAGTGTACATTATTACACCACATGCCCATCTGCAACACAAAAATTGAATTAGTATCCATTATGGTTTTGTTCTAAACATAAGCTGTATTAATCATGAGAAGAGAGCCAATACAAGGACCAATTATATCACTGCTCATGTAAGCATTCACTCACTCACTCCCTCATTTTATTTCTTCTATAATAACTAACTCACTTCCTGAATTTCTCACTCTGTCATTTACTCATTGCTACATATGTATTTCTAAGATTGTTGGCACTATCTAATTAACTTATCTTTACTGAATATAATCAAATAAAACAATTTTGATATCCTCACTATCTTAAACAATATTATACAGTTACTACACTACATAAAAGGTTGAAATTAATATAATATTCATAAGCAACCATTAATCATTGTAAACAGCTTAATAAGCAATCAAATTTATCCCAAGCATTGAAAAAGCACCAACCTTGAAGATATTGTAGTCACACAAGTTTATTTCAAATCTATTATCATGATCTATCAAGAATAACAACAGAAAGATCTTTTAGAACATCCACTTCACTGAAATGCATTATACTATTACATTAATTAAAATATGGAAGTACAAATATACACACAACTTCTCTACATAACATTTGACATTAGCTAAAGACCTAAACTATATCTACAACCAATGTCAGTATTAAGGTAATATGTCTGATTGTATTGGTGTCATTCTGAAGTCCATGGAAGAAAATCTAATAATACCTACTGAACTTACTTTTCATTCTATATTAATATGTGTGTGTGTGTGTGTGTGTGTGTGTGTGTGTGTGTGTGTGTGTGTGTGTGTGTGTGTGTGTGTGTGTGTGTGTGTGTGTGTGTGTGTGTGTGTGTGTGTGTGTGTGTGTGTGTGTGTGTGTGTGTGTGTGTGTGTGTGTGTGTACATACATACATATGTGTGTGTGTGAATATATATGTATATATACATATATACACACACATATATATATATACAAACATACATATATAAATATGAATATATATATATATATATATATATATATATATATATATATATATATATATATACACACATATATATACATATATATGTGTGTAATATGTAGGCAAAATTGGATCACATTCTTTAACCAGTATTCTTTGAGATCTTTCTCAGTTATTATAAATAGTTCTTGTTAATCTTGCATAAAAAAATACCTGTGGGTAAGCAAGAAAGATCTGCCTTAAAATCTGACTGTTGTTAAGATTCCCAGCACAACTGCAAGCTTGTTTTAGAAGGTTTTGAAGTAAGGGTATAAGCAGTGGGCAATGATGCATGTGTATATATGACTGAGTGTGCATACATATGTAGGTATGCTTACATTTCAATAGGGTGCATGTGAGTCTGAAGTCAGTTAGTAAAAAATACCAATACAATAATTGCAATTAGGTTGAGTTTGTCATTTCCTCTGAAAACTACAAAAAATTAGGAAACTAATCATATTACACAACATTCTACCTTAGTCTTCTATAGAATACATCAAAGACTGAAAAGAAAAAGTCAAAAGCTATCAAATTCAGCTAAACGTCACAATACGGATGATATAGCTATAATCACAGAAAAATTACACAAAAGTAACATACTTCCTAAAACAAATATTTTACAAAACATGAAAAAAGTAAAAAAAACAAAAAACAAAGAAAAGAATTTAAAAAATAAATAAAATAAAAAAACATCAGTAAACAAGAAAAATAATTACATTTCAATAATAAACAATGGCTAGTACATGTAAAACTCACAGATCAACAGCACACCAGTATCCCGGAGAGCCCT